CTGCATACTCCAGGATTGGTCTTACATAAGTGGTATACAGGGTTCTGAAAGATTCCTTACACAAGTTTCTGAAGGCAGTTCTTATGTTGGCCAGTCTAGCATATGCCGCTGATGATATTCTTTTGATGTGGGCCTCTGGGGACAGGTTCGGTGTGATATCAACCCCCAGATCCTTCTCTCTATTTGATTCTTGCAGGATTTCCCCTCCCAGATGATACCTTGTGTTCAGCCTCCTGCTCCCTTCGCCTAATTTCATCACCTTACACTTTCCAGAGTTGAACTTCAGCAGCCATATTCTAGACCATTCCTCCAGTTTATCCAGGTCATCCTGTAGTCTCTGTCTATCTTCATCCGTCTTGATTCTTCTCATAATTTTTGCATCATCAGCAAACATCGAGAGGAATGAGTCTATACCCTCTGGAAGATCGTTCACATATATTAGAAACAGGATGGGTCCAAGTACTGAGCCCTGTGGGACTCCGCTGGTGACATCTCGCCACCTGATGTCTTCCCCCTCACCGTTACTCGCTGTTTCCTGTTGCTTAAGTACTCCCTTATCCACTGGAGCACCTTCCCTTTTACTCCTGCCTGTTGCTCCAACTTTTTTAACAGCCTTTTATGGGGTACTGTGTCGAAGGCTTTTTGGCAATCCAGGAAAATGCAGTCGGCCCACCCTTCTCTTTCCTGCCTAATTTTCGTTGCCTGGTCATAAAATTCTATTAACCCTGTGAGGCACGATTTACCATCTCTGAACCCATGTTGGTGGTGCGTTACAAAGTTATTTCCCTCCAGATGCTCTACGAGCCTTTTCCTCGCGATCTTCTCCAGCACCTTGCATGGTATACAAGTTAAGGAAACTGGCCTGTAATTCAGTGCCTCTTGCCTGTCACCCTTTTTGTATATTGGGACCACGTTAGCTGTCTTCCAACTTTCTGGTAAGTCTGTGTGTGTGTGTGTGTGTGTGTGTGTGTGTGTGTGTGTGTGTGTGTGTGTGTGTGTGTGTGTGTGTGTGTGTGTGTGTGCGTGTGTGCGTGTGTGTGTGTGTGTGTGTGTGGGTGTGTGCTTTCTCGTGTATGTGTTTAGTGTTTTCTTTGCCGGGTCCTGTGAGTTCCGGTATTTTATTTCATGTGTGTTTGGGTGTGGTTGTCGCTTGTTTCCCGGTTCCTGTGTGTTCCGGTCGGGGGTTCTAATGTTTCCACTGTGTGTGCCAGGTGTTCCGTGGGTTGTATGTGTGTGTTGCATTTTTTATGTTTTGTAACTTTCGTTTCTGATTTTTTTTGTGCACTTTTGTGGTTTAATGTCCATAACTTGGCCCCGTCTTGGAAGTGCAATTTCGTATTGTGTGTTCCTATGTCTTTACTTTTGTGTTTCATGTTTTCTCCTTGACGTTCTTTGCTCTATGACCATTGCAATCTGTGTTTTTGTTGTTATGTGTTCATTGTTGTTCTGCATTTTGCTGTGACGTTTATATAAATAAGGATCTCTGTTGCATTTATGACTTACGGTGTTCTGTTGTTGGGTGGTGTGGAGCTGGTGCTCAGTCTTTATTTTGGTGCTTCAGTGCCTTTATATTGTATGTTTCCATTGTAATGTATTTTGTTTAAAAAAAAAATGCTCGGCGTCGACAAGATGTACACCAAAAGCATGCTACAATTAGCTTTAACCCGCCTACCTTTTGGCAAGGCACCTGGAGAGAATGGAATTCCATATAAACTTATCAAATATCTTCCATCGACTGCACATAGCGATCTTCTAAACTACTACAACCTATGCTGGATTCACAGAAATATCCCCTCACAATGACAAACTAGTATTATTCTTCCTTTCCTTAATCCAAGTAAAGACCCATACCAACCAGCGCATACAGACCTATCACTTTACATTCATGTCTCAATAAAGTCATGGTACATACTCGCCTCCAATGGTACCTTGAGTATAATAATATTTTATCGTCACTTCAAGCTGGACCACTCTTAGAAGCAGTTAATTTTGTATTGTTCTCTACCTAGATCTTAAAGGAGCTTTTGATAGCATTCCTCATACTTGCCTTTTGGCAAAGCTTGCACTTTAAGGCGTACAGGGAAGATTTCTTCCATGGCTACAGTCCTATCTTACGAACAGGACCTCCAAAGTCTATATACAAAACGGGTTTTCAGATAGTATTTCAAAACAAACGGGTATCCCACAAGACTCCACACTAAGACCAATCCTTTTTGCTGCATTCTTAGCAGATTTACCTAACACCCATCCCGTTCACCTCTCGGCATACACGACGATTTGACATTGTATTATTCAGACAATGCCCTACCTAATACAGTCTCAACAATGCAAAAAGCACTTGACCACCTCATTGCTGGGACACAACAATGGAGCCTCCAAGTTAGTACTGCCAAAACCTGTTACCAGATTTGCACTAAAAAAAAAGACTTGTTTATATACCCACCCTCACAATACACAACACTCCCATCCCAACCCGTTCTCGCACTTTCTTTAAGTCAATATTGACTTAATGAATAAGTGAATATGTGACATACTAATTTATTGTGTATATTTTAGTTTATCTTGAAAAGCTTCATAGAAAACACCGACCTTAACTAACCTTCTTAGTATGTTAAGATAAGCATCTTATTGCTTCGTAATTACAATTATTACTTAACCTATTATAGGTATAGGTTAAGTAATAATTGTAATTGTAATTACGAAGCAATAAGATGCTTATCTTAACATACTAAAAAGGTTAGGTAAAGTCGGTGTTTTCTATGAAGCTTTTCAAGGTAAACTAAAATATTCACAATAAATTAGTATGTCACATATGCACGTATTTGATAAGTCAATATTGACTATAAGAAAGTGTGAGAACGGGTTGAGGTACACACATACGAGGACATACCTTGGCATGCATTTCGACTCGCCCTTACTTTCCTGGAAAGCACACATTCAACAACTTAAATTTGAGTAATGGACTGGACAGACGACACTACCACGACTCGCCATACTTAAAGCCCTCACAGGCACCACTTGGAGAGCACACCCTAAAATTTTGCTCCGTTTCTTTACAACCAACATTCGCGACCAACTAGACTATTGCTGCCAGGCATATGTGTCGGCTGCGCCTACTAACCTACAGAGCCTGGAGGTCATACAAAACAATAGCATGCGACTTACACGTAATGCACTGAGTTCCACTCCCATCCTTAGCCTTCATGGGGAAACAAGCCTCACAAACTTAGCCACCAGACGAGACATAATGTGTGCCAACTATCTGTCACTCTGTACCACTGCTCACTCGACACACTCATACAGATATAAAATTAACTCAACAGTTAACCAACATAACCCACGCTTCCCAACCAATCATTCACAACCTTTCCTTACACGGGCTACAGATAACCTCACTTTACTCCAAAACTCTGAAACCCAACTTACTGTCCTCCCTATTCCAGCTTGGCTTTATACAACTCCTAATAAATAAATATAACTGGAAGACAATATTCCAAAGTCTGTACCAAACTCAGCTATAGCCTCAGTCTTTGTAAAATACAATGAAAATTGCTACCCAAATACCACATTGATTGATATAGAGAGGTCTCGCATCCTCATGAACAACATACCCTCAGTCACTAGTGCTGTATGGATCCCACGATACCTTCTCAAACAGGGATGACAGTTTCCAAACCAACTATCTTTTTTTCACACCTGAATTATATGCCTTATACCAAGCTCTCCAAATAATCACATTATAGTTGGGATATAAACAATTTGTAGTGACTCCAGGAGAGCGATGCAAGCAATTACGTACTCTTCTACAACGTGCAAATAGTTTGTTTACCCATGCCTTCAACTTCTTCATGAGCATTGATTGAATGATTATGACACCTCTATCCAATGGGTCCCAGCGCATTGTGGTATACTCCATAATGAACTTGTAGATCAGCTGGCCAAAGCGATGCACAACACGTCCTACATTACCCATCATCCAATTCCTCATGTTGGAGTTGCGCTCTGTGTAGCATGGCAAGCGGTTGTTGCTCGCCTGTTGTCCAGTTGCTGCTTGCCTAGGGTAGTTGGCGGACCGCAGGTGGTGTGCTGACGTGGCCCGAGTGATGGGGGTGACCTTCCCCCATTTTGCGGGCTTATTCGGCGGGCCTGAAGTTTACCAGCAAGGCTGATTATCAGGCGGTGGAGTTGGTGTTGTGTGATATGCTGCGAGTTGATGTGGCTGCGACCTGTGGGGTGGAGTTGGGGTTAGCTATAGGGAAGTTTGCTGCAGAGGAGAATTACAGGGTGTTTTTGCTCCGTTATGAGGGGCGGTCATTTCCGCTGCCGAACGCTGCTGGTACGGTCGTTATCTCCGACCGGAGTGTTCCCCTTACATTCGTCAATGTGCATGGTTCACCCCTCGAGTTTCCGGAGGAGCTGCTGCAGAGGTATTTCGGGTGGTATGGCATTGTCATGAGTGTCAGATTGAATATGCTTTCCTCTAGGATACTTAAGGGTGTTCGGGCAAATATTCGCACTCTGGGGATGCGGCTGCGAGCGGACATCCCATCCTGTGTGCGGCTCATGGGGTATTACATCTGTGTATACTACGCATGTGAGCCACGCACCTGTTTTCCCTGTGGTTTGTTGGGCCACCTGGCTGCTGGAGGTTCGGCGGATGTCGTCGCTACGTTGAACCTTTTTCGTGAGGAAGATTTTTGCCGCTAACTGTGGAGGAGGACTCGGTGGGTGAGGTTGTGGATGACCGTTTGGCTGCTGTGTCGGATGGTGCGCCTAATAATATTGGGGCTGGTACTCCGGAGGTTATGCCGTCCTCGGTTGGATCGTCCCTTCACTTTCTAGTGTGTGGTTTGGTTAACATATTTCAGCCACTTTATTGTGACTCCTTGTCTGCCTGTGAATGTTGTCCCAGCGGGTGCCCCTGTGGTGTTGCCCCTTGACACGTCACCTACCATGGTGCTGCCCGCTGTGTTACTGGCCTCTATGCTGCCACCCTGGCAGCACAGAGCGAGGTGCCAGTTCCAGGGGTGCGGTTACCCCTTCGACGGGTGCCATGCCTGGTGCTGGTCTGCAGCCTGTTGATGATCTGATTGGTGTTTTGACTGCTGACCGGTTGTCCGTCTTGTGGGAGCGAGTTGCGCCGCTTCCCCTGCACCCTGGTACTATTTGGGTCCCCCGAGTACATGCCTTTGTGTCCGAACTTCCAGTTAATATGGTGCCCCCTTATAAGCCATTTCGTCATGATGAGCATCCTAATGAGTGGCTGCGCTGGGAGGCGTACTGTATCCGGTTTCCAAGAAAAAAGTTTCCGGACCAGTACATGTAGGGGTGGCTTGTGTTGTTTTGCCTCCCCTTGCGGTGTTTGCTGTGGGCCTGTCAGGCCTGTGGTGGTGTCTTTCTTTACTCTTGGGTTTATGTCACTGTACTGTTCTATGTAATGTGTTACGTGTTTGTGTCTTGTTGTGTGTCCTTCCGGCCTGTGGTTTTGTACTTTTGTCATAGTTTTTCTCTTATGTTTCTTTTATTGTACTGATTAGCATGCTCTGCATGTAAATATAAAAAAAAATATATAAATATAAAAAATCCTTATGTTGCACGTATAGGACCCTTCAAAGATACCATCATCCAAGATTTTGTAATGAAATGGAAAACGTCATGCTCACCTTTGTACTATGGGTCCATTTAAGAGAAATTGGAAACTTGGAAACATGTCAGATATAAAAGCAGAGGAAACTGAAGTAACAATGACCAGATTAAGGCTGGTCCACACACCAAACTGCCAGCACACACATTAAAATACAGAACAGATATCAACGAACTCTGCATCCACTGTCATGTACCAGAAACAATCGAACATTATCTCCTTCACTGTTTCCGACATCATAGTGCCAGAGTAAATTTCAAAAAAAAGTATTTATCGCACTTAAAATACCCTTTACCATCGAGCAAATATTAGGAGGAGGTGACATCACGTTATATGAGAATACAACAAATAGTCAAAACATTGGCTAAATATCTCCAGTCAACCAACAAATTGAGCCACATTTATACCTGACAGAGAGTGGACTCCCCCGTTTTGGGCGGGTCCATACTCCACCTCGCCTGGCGGTGGTCCTCACTCACGCTGGGAGGGTCTTCCACCGTCAGGAGCTGGGCTCCCTCAGTTGCCTGCCAGCGCTCAGAGGAGATGGATGTCGCTTCGTGTTCCTCCCTCTCCACTCTCTTATTTCAGGCTTTCTGCCTCACCAAAAACATGTCTAACTTATCAATAAACATCGCTACTGTCGCTGGGCACACGACCAACTACAAGCAACCACTATGAACTGGCGTATATCGTGCTTACCACAGATTGTCTGGTCGAGGGCGCTCCTCCCTCTGACGAAGTTCGGTCAGGGCGCTTCCACGGCCCACAATAATGCCTCTGGGCGGTTTAATACTCTCCTCTTTGACCAGGACTTGAGACCACACGTCCCCAGCTCGATTCCACAGCTGGTATGTCTGCACACTTCTCTTCTCTTCGAGATATATCACTAGGGTTTCCCTTCTGATGGGAGCTCCCACCAACAGCCAAACACAGAAAACAACTGCCCGCCGCAGCACTAAGGATCAGTTGACGCCATATACACAGCATACCGCCCTACAGTGCGGCAAGTCTCCCTCAAAACACACACCTCTGTTTTAGTCGTCGCTCCTCTATCTAAAGTACAATGCAACAAACACTTTCGAAACTCTTGTCATTCTCAACATTAACGTGTCACTCAACATTTGTACTTGTGCAGTCATCGGAAGGATAAACCCTTCATACACACTGCACCTACCATCAAGAAGATCTCAGTCATGTTGATTCTTCACGTCCTGATGATTTATTCATTCATAAATGCCTTGTTGATTCGGTGGATACCTTTGTTATTTTAAACCCCACCCGTACTAGTACACATGTCATTGTGGCTCCTCCTTAGGAAGCGGCTGACCGTTTAGCCTCGTTGTTCTGCATTGGGGAGAACCCGGTTCAGATCTCCAAAAATGCCTGGTTAAATGCCAGCATTGGCACAGTTATTCTCCCGCACCATGTTGCGACTGGTGACAGGGATCTGAAAGACTGTCACGAGGATATTAAACATATCCTCGAATCCCAAGGCCAATTTATCCACCAGGATAATACGTTCACTCGACCCCATCGAGGTCGTCATCGTCAGCCTCTAAACGTAATGAAGATCACTTTTGATAGTAGGTTCTTCCCATCTTCTGTAATTCTTGCTGATGCTTTGTTCAGGAGGACATCTTCTTTCCTCGTCTCTGCAACAGATGCTGGAGATTTGGGTTTTGCACTCTAAATGCACGAGTGCGGTGTCTCTATGCCCCCCTTGTGTGAAGCCTCGGGTCATTCTAAGACAGAGTGCTCTTCTTCCCAAGCTCTCTGCATCAATTATGGTGACGCTTACCCTATCTTCTCTCATGCACGTATACTCTACAAATTTGAGGAAGCCATTCTCATTTTGAAACGTCGTGATAATTTGTCTTTTCCTGAGGCAAGATGCCAAGTATGTCGTCTTCCCCTCTTTCTCTGACATGTCTTATGCTCGTGTGTTGCGTTCCTCTTCTCCTCGCCCTCTCCACTTTCTCAATTTTGCAACTGTTTCCAGGCCTTGGACCCGGAAACCACCACCATCACCTCACCTGCTCCTTTAAGTTCTGGGCCAGAGGGTCTCCCTCCTGGTTCTCCATCTGGTGTTTCCTTCTTTCCTTCCTTCCTTCCTAGTGTTCCTTGTTTCCTGTGCCCTCTTTCCCTTCTCATCCCAATCCTTCTTATTAGCCCTTGCCTTTGTCTTTTGGCCCTCTACACCGCCTGTCCGTCCGGGCCGTTGTCCATCCTTCTCCCAGTAATCTTCATGTTGACTGCTCCCGTTCCCCTTCTGTTGAGACTGTGGAGGCTGTCGCCCAGTACATTGCTCCTGGTACGTATGTCTTTACGTCGGAAATGTAAACCTGGCTGCTCTCCTTCTTCCTCCCCGACGGGTAAGAAGGCATCGCTCCATTTCTCACCTCCCGACTCCGACTCTATCCCTGCATCCCCTCTCATTTCAGCGGGAGTCACCTATCCCAGCTATGGAGCTTCCTTTGGTCCTTGATTTTCTCTCGGATGATGCCCTTGATGAACTTCGTTCCCCTGTTTCTGTCTCCCCTCCCCCCGATTCCCTTGACCGCCTCTCCGATGTCTCCTCCCACTACGGATTCTGTCCGTCCGCCTCTGGTCCATCCTACCACTCCCTTGACTCCATCGTCTTTGATAGATTTACCTATTCCCCGTAACTCCGATTTCACTGCTCCTGATTCTGATCTTAGTATAATGTGTTCTTCTTTACCTTTGTTTCTCCCTTGTTCCTTGTTCTCTGTTTCTGTTCTATTTCTTTTTGACAATGTCTATTTTTCAATGGAATATTCAGGGATTTTATGCCAATTCCAGAAACTCCGACTTCTGATCATGCAGTTTTCACCGCAGTGTCTGTCTCCAGGAGCCAATGCTTGGCGCTCGTGCTGGTCACTTCCATGGTTATTCCTTTCTCTTCCCCCTTCCTCCCACTTTTGCTGGGGTCCATAACTCTACTGCCCTTTGATTCGTATTAATATTCCCTTCGTCCCCAAACTTTTTGAGTCGCACATTGTATTCTGCAGCCCGTATCTTTGTGAGTAAATGCTATACTCATATAGAATAGCATTTTTGTTGTTGTTAGTTGTTTCATTTCTTCCCCTCCTCCATGTCCCACTTTCTCTTCCAGATCCTAAAAGTCTGTTGGACTCCTTACCAGAGCTTGTGCTCCGTTTGGGGGATTTTAACTGTCAGCATACCCGGTGGGGAGATCTGACAAACACCCGGGGCCGCCTTCTTGAATCATTTGTCCTCTTCTCCGTCTCTTTTGAATTCTTGTGAACCCACTCATGTTGACTCACGGACTCGCACCCTCTCCTGTCTTGATCTTTCTCTCTCCTCGTCTTCTCTTTATTTAGATTTCACATTACGGGTTCGTGACCTCCATAAGTGACCATATCCCCCATCCTTGTCACCTCTTTTCACCCCTCCCCTTTCCTTCCCTTGGTGGGAGTTTTCCAAGGATAACTGGAATCTTTTCACCTTACATGCTACTGTTTCCGACCTCTCCGATCTGCCTTTCCCTCGAGCTTTCCTCCTTTTACATGACACCATATTAGACACTGCTCTGTTCCTCGTTCTACCTCTTGGGGCACGCGGAAGTGCCTGGTGGTGGTGGAAATCCCTGCTGGAATGTATAATGTGCTCGGGCTCTCCGCTTAAGCGTGGAGCCTGGTAGAAACACCAACTCCAACAGACAGCTGCTTCCTTTTTTTTCCAAAGGCATAAACGTGAGGATAAAACGTGAGAGTTGGAAATCTCATGTCTTCACCATTACGATTGACACTCCTCTCCCCCAGATCTGGAAGAAAATCCGTAAGATAGTGGGTAAGTTTTTTCCTGATATCTCACTAGACTTTCACCTCCGTGGTTCTCTTGTGGCGGATCCAGTGTCGATCGCGACTGAACTGGATTCCCACTTTTCGACTATTAGCTCCGGTTCTCATCTTCCTCCATCTTCCTTTACTCGTAAGCCCCGTCTTGTAACTTGTCCCTTAGATTTTCGCACATATCTCCAGCTGCCCTATAATGATCCCTTCTCTCTCTTTCAGAACTCCAGTTTTCCCTTCCCTGCGGTTCTAGGGCAGCGGGCTCAGATGACATTTATTATGAGATGCTTCGCCATCTCCCTCCATGTACGTCTCAGTATTTACTGAATATGTGTAACCGTATCTGTGTCGTCGCCAGTCCCAGAGGACTGACTTGAGACGGTTGTTCTTCCTCATCAGAAATGTGGTTCTCTAGGGTCATCCCCTAAGAACTTCTGCCCAATTGCCGTCACGAGTTGCGCCTGCAAACTCTTTGAACGTATGGTGAATGTTCGTCTGATGTACTTGGAACACTATCACCACTTCTTCCTTTTTTCAATTTGGCTTTCGCAGGTGTCGCAGCATGACTGCTGTCTTGGTGAACTTGGAGGTTTTATTTGTATTGAGGTTTATGTATTGTGTGCGGCAGCGGTCTCCAGCAACAACATGGCAGGCTTCCACACAGGCTTAACCTATAACAAACCTTAATAGATGGACAGTACTTCCATCTCGTAACTAAACTTGTCCATCCCGGGATACGTCGGTCCTATCACCAATACTTCACTAAGTATCATAGACAACTTACTGTCTACATCAACTAGGTGTAGTTGGTGTAGACTGTAACTGCCTCTAGGTGAACTGATTTTTTTTACCAAGAAACCACCCACATCACTTCTGGAGAGTTGAAATATGGTTAGTAAGAAATAAACTATGTTGTTGATTTAGGGGCGACGACTATTGTCGGAACGGATGTGCCCCGGCATACCCGTATAGGGTTAATTGCAAAGCCAAGTGGCTTCATAGAGGGACGAAGGGAATATCATGACGGATCAAGAGAGCAGTAGAGTTATGCCCCAACAAAATCTGAAGGGGATAGTGAGGAAGGAAGAATCATGGAAGTGACCAGAACGAGCGCCAAGCATTGGATCCTGGAGACAGACGAAGGGGTGAAAACTCCATGATTAAAAGTTGGAGTTCATGGAAGTTGACATAAAACCCATGAATATTCCATTCAAGAACATAGACAAAAAGGAGAGAACAGATGACAAGGGAGAAACAAATCAATGAAGAAAACAGTAGACTAAGTAAGATCAGGATCAGTGAAATCGGGGCTATGGGGCATAGGCAAAGCTAGCAGAGACAATGGAGGCAAGGAAGCGGGAGGATAGACCAGGGGTGGACTGACAGTTCAGAGAGGGAGGAAGCATCGGTGGGAGGCAGTCAAGGGAATCGAGGGCAGGAAAGACAAACAGGATAGGGCACTGGATCAAGGGTAGCATCCGAGAGAGAATCAAGGACCAAGGGAACCTCAATAACAGGGACAGGCTTCCCTTCCTGCCACTGAAACTGGAGGGGAAGTAGGGAGTGTCGGAGTCGGAAGATGGAGAATATATAGAAACCTTCTTACCCGCTGGCGAGGAAGGATGAGAGGAGCCAGGCTTGCATTTCTGACAGACAGGCGTACCATCAGCAATGTACTGAGCGACAGCCTCTAAGGTCTCAACAGGACAATGGGAAAGGTCAACATGAGAAGACTGGGAGGAGGATGGACGATGGCCTGGACAGACAGGCAGTGAGGAGGGCTAAAACATAGACGGGAGGGCTGAGAAGAAGGATTGGGACGAGAAGGGAAAGAGGGCACAGGGGACAAGGAAGACGGAAGGAAACACCAGACGGAGAACCAGGAGTAAGACCCTATGGCCCAGAATACAATGGAGCAGAGGTGGTGGTGGTGGTGGTGATGTCAGGGACCAAGGCTTGCAAACGGTTGCGAAACTGAAAAAGTGGGAGAGGGCGAGAGGTGGAATGCAACACACGAGCTTAAGACATGCCAGAGAAAGAGAGAAGACGGCGAACCTGGCGTCTCGCCTCGTTAAAAGATAATCGATTGCGATGTTTCAAATTGATAATGGCTTCCTCAAATTTGTAGTGCACACATGGGCAGGAGAAGGTAGGATGCGCGTCACCGCATTGATGCAGAGAGCATGGGAAGAAGAGCACTCTCAGAATGACCCGAATCTCCACATAAGGGGCACACACACACACCTCACTTGTGCACCTAAAGACATGCTCAAATCTCCAGCACCTGCTTCAGAGGCGAGGAAAGGTGGTGTACTCCTGAACCGATCATCTGGCACCAGCCAGAATGACGAATAGCAGTATCAAACACTACCTTCACAATGCGAAGAGGCTGACGACGACGACGACTACAAGACAGCCCTCCAGGGGGGTGCATCGTGGATGTACACTCTGCAAGCATCACCTTAAGAACCGTCAGTCCGTCGAGATTGGGCTCAACAACAAAAGAAAAGTTTGACAACGAAAGCGATCCCTCGCTTGACAACGTCGGGTACCACAGTTCTACAGGCGAGTGTGCGTTTCCCTAAACATCCGGGCGTCAAAACAGAAGACATCGGAAAGAATATTCAAGAATGGTTAAAAGTCAGCAGGAAAGAATAATTAGAACGGAGAAGAAGTGGGGATGAAAATGCAACCAGCAAAATTAGTTAAGACAGCAGCAGGAGCATAAGGCTTCATAAAGACAAGACAAGTTGTCCCTTGAAGCATCACACTCCATCAGCCGTCCATTAAGCCCCCACACCACGACAACGGCCTGGAAAAAGAAGGAAGTGATCTTCACAGAACAACAATGCTCAGAGCTCAACCAGTCCTCGACTCAAGTCTATTACATCCAGGGGTCGACCCCACAGACACATTCATAAATTTTTACATGCTGTTCATTTAAAACGGGAATTTTCTCAAATACAAATTAATATTGTTATATATTAGCATATTGTGCTTATATAGGCATGGGTTAGGTGCTTGGGTTCTGTTGGCGATTATTTGTAATGCGTGGGTAAAGCATTTAGTGTTGTGGTTCGAACAAAATTTGTCAGTGAAGCACTTTCTCTGGAAGTGTTAGAACGAAATCAGTTGCGAGTCTTGTGTAAACTTTTTTATTCATAAACTGGGTTTGGTGGGTGCATAGAATCACTTTAGAGGACGGGCTGCGAAGACCCAAAACAGAGCTAGAGAGTGCTTAGAATATAACATTTTCCACAGAACAAAACCATGTGCAGCTTGATATACCAATGACGCCGGCAGCAAATCTAATTATCGCCGATTTGGGGGAAGTCCGAGAATGGCAGTTGGTGGTGGTGGTGGGGGGGGGGGGGGTAGGGGGTTGAGGCTGCCGTCTGTTTTGGTAGTCTGATAACGAACCCAGTGAGGAATCTCTGGCAGGGTCGCCTCGCATACTTGGAATCTTTAGTACAATAGCCCAGAATGAAGCTGGTTGAAATTGAACATCTATTTAACATAGATGAGCAAGATTTGTGTTCACCTTTTAGTTGTGTTTGTAGCCATGGTATGATAGCTCATTGCTCGACCACTACACTTGTTTTGCGCCAAATTTGTGAAAATTATAATCGTCGCGTCCTCCCCTCCCCAGCAATCGTCAAATCGGTATTCTCCATAACAGACTGACTCGGTCCTTCACAACAAAACTCCGTACAGTGTAATTCTAGTTGTGCCAATGACCATTAGAATATAACGAGTGTCTTAATATTCATTAAATTGTTAGTTATATCCCACCTTCGAAAGATGTAAAGGTCTGTACAGTATTCACTTTTCAGGTTAAAGCGGACAATATTTGAACAGAAGCACAAGACTAAGCTAGTGACATTTACTTCCGAAATCTTTAACTGAATTCTATGACTTTACTGATGGTTGTACAGATTAACACGTTTTTGCATGTGTATAATGCGAATGAAATGATTGTTTAGTATGAAGTTTAGTAAGTGGCAAGCACAACCAATTTTTGTTATTGATATAAAAAAAACAAAGTACAAAACAGGCAACAAGGAAAGAACAATGATACCAGAAACGTGCCAATATATGAAACAATACTACAAAAACCATGTAACATACATAATGCAAATACAAGGAGGCACAGGAAAGAGTACAAAATGCAAGCAGCACAAAACTACAAACAGCACATGACATAACACATGGCACAGGAAACAAACAAATACAACATAGAAAAGGCATAAGTAATAACTAATAGGAACAAAGACAACCACCCCATAACACAAAGGGGTATTAAACAATATCCCGGGCTCCCAAACCCCCACACAGAGGAGCACAACAGTGCATAAAAGGCAGGTGCCATATACAAAGGAGCAATAAACACACATAATAGAAATAGCATAAAAGGTACAAGGAATAAAATTTGCACAGAAAATAGTGAAACACACACACACAACCCATGTAACAAACACAGGGAACAACAACACACACACCAACATGCCCGCCACCCAAACACTGGGCGCGAGCAAGGCATACCACACCACACACACCCAGCCAAGCATAAGCCCACACAGGAGCCAGGAAAGAAAACACACCCACAACCTCAACAGAAACAAAACACTCACCTCGCTCAGCCTCCTCCGAGGAGGCCCCCAGAAGGGCCGGGGCCCCATACGGAACCCAAACAGACCTACCCCTCCAGCCCACAACCAAGAGTCAAGAATCCAACCCGAACCATCCCATACCCCGCCACACGAAGACCCCCCCCCCCAACCCCACACGAAACCCTCCCCCCCCAAACAAACCGCTCCAACTCACCCAAAGAAAACCCCACGATCATAGGCATCGGTAAACCAACCACAAAAGCCGCCGGAAAGTCGCGCTGCAACTACCTCCAGGTGTATCGCATGCGACCTCACAAAAAAGCCCAAAACCCGCACAACCCCATAACCCTCCCTTCGACCAACCCACACACAATACACAGTCAGCAACGAGAATACAAAGTATTTTGCACCCATCTAGAACCCCTCGGAAAGGACAAAAACAAAAACCGCAGAAAATCACCCCGAAACCCCAGCCCACAAACCACCTCCAACATATCCCGAAACCAATCAATCAAACCACGCAACCGCTCACAAAAATAAAAGACATGCACCTGCGATTCAGGTAACCCACAGTGCACATGCTCCGCAGAGGCACGCAATCCCAGCATGCACAGCCGTTCATTCGTCACTAACGACAAATGCAACATACGAAACAACAACTCCCGCTGCTGTGGCGCCAAAAACCGACCACCCAAAGCCGCCCACCCCTTCCCCAAATCCCAACACGGGAACAAGGCCTCCACCCGAGGACGGATACAACAGTACAACACCTCATATACAGCCCTACTCGAAAGAGACAAAGTCAGAACTATGACAGAGCCAGAAGAATGTCCACCGCCCAAGAGTATACAGGAGGGGTACACAGAGCCACCTCCCGACAACCCCCCAAATCCACCAAGAAACTAAACCGAACTGAGCAATAAAAAATACACAAAGCATTAAGCCCCCCCCCCCAACTCCAACCCCTGTCTCAACGAGACCCAGAACAACGCCCAAGCCTTGGTAAACACGTCAGGAATACCGACACCACCCTCCCGCACAGCCAACACCAACGTCGAGTGACGAACCGGGTAGTAACGACCACACCACACATACCGATACACCTGACGTTCCAACTCCAGAGCCTTCCGGCAATCTAATGGGAAGCACCCAGCCACGAACCTCACACGCGACAACACTTTGCAGGTAACAAGCAACGCCCGCCGATAGATCGTCAACGGGCGCACTGACAACATCCCAATCGCAAGGCCAACACTAAGAGAGACCACACTCCAATTCCACTCTAAAGAGCGCTCGTAGGAAGCGAACCAGGTGATCCCCAGAACCCGCAGAGTGGAGACCACTGGAAACCACGACCCCTCCCACACAAGGCGAGAGGCCCACCCACCCACAATACCAGACTTAGCACGATTAACCAGGGCTCCAGTGGCCAATTCAAACCTCTCAACAATGGCCTGCACAGCTCCGACAGAATCCTCAGAAGCCACGAACAGAACGGTATCATCTGCATAACCACAGATGGGCAACCGAAGACCAGAAGGCAACCAGGGAGGGACTACCAAGGCACAAGATTTGACCGCCCGAAAGAAAGGCTCCTGAAAGAGCACAAAGAAGCATAGAAAGGGGGGCAACCCTGCCGCACAGAACGGCGAACAGGGAAAGGAGCACTCAAGAACCCATTGCAAACTATTACAACAATGAGCGTACAACATTCACACCCAACGAACAAACAAAGGCGGAAACCCAAGCCGCTCCAACACACGGAAAACAAAGGCCAGCAACACCCGGTCAAAAGCCTTCGACCAATCCAAACAGATAATCGCCGCCGACAAGCGAGACCGACACGTAGAGAAGTACATCCCTAAACAACGAATTACACTGCATCAAAGAGCGACCATGAACACCACAAAACTGTTTCGCAGAAACAACAGACGCAACAACACCACGACATTGACCAGCCAAAACCACGATCTTATAGTCCACATTTAACAAAGTAATGGGCCCCCAAATTCAAGAAGAATCCTAAATCGCCCGGCTTCGGGAGCAACCGCACGATCCCGTCACACTGGGACACTGGCAGAACGCACCCACGAAGACAAGACCACACCACCTCCACGAAAACACCCCCAGCACATCCCAAAAAGTAATATAGAACTCCACAGGAAGGCCATCCGAGCTCGGCACCTTCCCGGAACAAAACTATCGGACCACGCCCAAGAGCTCCTCCAACGAAACATTCCTCACTAAACGATCACAATCCGCAGTAGACAACACCGGAATGCACAGACTCAAGAATACATCCGCAAGCTCGTCGTCCCCCGCCACCTCCCCATAAAACGCCTCCAACTCCTGCCGAACATAATGCACCACCCCATCAGTGTCCGAAACGACGGTCCCATCCGGCCGCAGAAAGGCCTGAAAAAGGACAATCACGGGCAGCCTTGACCTTACCCAAGAGAAAGTTAGAAAGACATTCCCCATCGACACGAGCATGCACACGAACACCTTTAGCCCACTCACCACGCAAACCACAGATACACTCCTTACACTCCGCAATATCCCCAAAACAATCAAACCCAGCATTGAGCCGAACATACAACAGTAAAAGCCGCACCTGCAGCAACCCAATCCTCCCAGCAGCTTCCCGCTTGGCAACCACCCGAAAAAAACGACCGACACTGCACCTTACTCCACTCCCACCATTCCAATAGAGAAGGAAACTCAGGCCGCCGGGCAAGAACCCCGACCCACCAGACCCGAAACTGCCCACAAACACGCGGATTGCGCAGCAAACCACAATTTAGTTTCCACCACCCCACACCTACTTGCACCTGACTGTATACACCAACCTGGACCACCACCAAACAATGGTCTGAGAAGGCCACCGGGACAGTGCGGAAATCAAACACGGAACACTCCCCACCAGTAACAAACCCTATCAATCCGAGAACATGCCCCACGCGCAGCAAAAGTAAAATCCATCGCGCCGCCACAGAGCACAGCAGCATCCCGGAATCTGCAAGAGCGCACCATCTCCAGCAGCGCACCCAAAACATTATGCGGGTGGGCGCTATTACAGTCCCGCGCACTCGTCTTAATTTAAATCCTCCCAAAAAATCATACCCCAGCGTATCATGACGCAGGAAGGGGAGAAGCCCCACCCTAAAAAATTCCTCCTGGTCATGGCGACGCGACGCCCCTGAGGGGGCGTACACCGTCAGGAACGGAGTCACGACCCCCCAAATAACTCCACCCAAACAAACAAAACCCGCCCATCCTCATCCATCTCCGTGTGAAGCACGGATATAGATGCTCTCCTAGAAAATAACACAAGTTTCCCTCCAAAGGACGTCCTCGGCGGATTCAGCACAATGATAATGAGCACACAAACCCTGAAGCACAGACACATCCCTAACATTATGCTCCTGTATCAGAGTCACATCCACAAGCTGCTCCTGCAGAACATTCAACAGGCCCAACTGGACCGCAAGATCATTCAAACCCCGGACGTTTAATGACGCAGATACAACAGGGGGACGCCATCGGAAGAACCTCAGGACACCCCCAATCCCAAGCGTCCCCCGGGGAGAACCCTGTCACCCCCCGTGGGAGCCGCACCTGCAACATCAGGTGCAACCACCCGCTGCACCCAGATAACGCCCTTACATAGACGGGCGGACGAGGGCACTTCTGAAGCTTCAAGGGGCTAACACCATGTGATGAATCGCACCGAGCCTCCGATGCCATCATCCACTATGCCCCCTCGTCCCCCGCCTCCCCGGAACCCACGTCGGCAGCACCGCCTCCCACACCGCCAGACCCCTCGCTTGACGGAGGATCGCCCGCCAAACCCACACCACACAAAGCCTCTATCCTCTTCCCAGGGTGGCCCTTGCTGCGCGACCGATCCTTCAGAACGCGCATTCAGCAAGGGGCAGAAGAACTCTCCGATTCCAGGGGAGACACATCACCGGCAACAGCAGACGGGTGCTCCACCGCACCAACCTCTTGAACACCACCAGGCTCACAGTCAGGAGTCACAGGGCCCACTCCACCTCCAGCCCTGGGAAGTCAACCCTTCTCGCATTTGCTTCAGTCAATATTGGCTTATTAAATAAGTGCACATGTGACATACTAATTGATTGTGAATATTTTAGTTTACCTTTAAAAGCTTCATAGAAGGTTAGGCGAGGTCGGTGTTTTCTTAGTATGTTAAGATAAGCATCTTATTGCTTCTTAATTACAATTATTACATAACCTATACCGTTGATAGGTTAAGTAATAATTGTAAATATGAAGCAATAAGATGCTTATGTTAACATACTAATTAGGTTAGGTCGGTGTTTTCTATGAGGCTTTTCAAGGTAAGCTAAAATATTCACAATCAATTAGTATGTCACATATGCACATATTAAAAAAGCCAATATTGACTATAAGCAAGAGCGAGAACAGGTTGGGGAAGTACACCGTCCCCAGCAAAAGGGTCACACCCCCATCTCTACACTAACACCGACCAATGCCACGGACTCCCACGGATTTCTATGCACCTCTGCGACCACTGTCAGCCGAGTACAGGGAGCAGAAACCTCCAGACCCGCAGAGCCAACCGGCAAAGCAGACGAAGAGGCAGGCACGTCAGGTGAAGACACTCCACCAGGCACATCCACAGAGCTCTGACCATCTGGGGACGACCCACTCCCTGGCAAGCATGGAAAATCCTCCTCACAGAACACTGACGGGTCCTCCGTTCGAGGAGCATGGCAAACAGCAGCAAAGTGACCCTCCTCACCACACCTGAAGCAGGAGCGAGTCTGGCCCTGGTAGAATACCCCCATGTAGAAGCCACACACCGCCACCCGGGAGGGAATAGTCCCAGTGAGCCTCATGCACAACATATGTGCACCCATACATAGCCCCTGCAGCCGTCCTCCACGTAGAAGGTTGAATCGATGCCCCGACACCAAATTTTGCGAACACAGCACACAGCTTCGTCTCAGGGAAGTTTACAGGCACACAGTGGATGCTCATAAAGGTCAAAGGCTCCCACGTATCCAAGACCTCCACGGACACAGCTGAATTGGGAATAACACGCGACTGCGAATCCCAATGGCACAAACTGCTGGTAGATAAGTGACGTTGTGAACGTCACCGCTCTGTGACAGGTAAAAACATGCGTTTTTGAAAAACAGCACCATCTGTTGCACATAATAGCAACATGCACGCTATACTAAATATGTCACAAATTCCAATTCAATGTTTCCAATTGCACTGATAAATTATATTTGCATAGATTTCGATTTTTTTTATTTATTATTGAATTATTTTGTGTGACATTGTGCTGGATTTGAGCGGTGTTGTTTACCATACCATTCATTTCGTAAGTATAAGTATAGATTCCACACCTGTGACAGGTAAAACTATACTTTTCTTGAAAAACAGCACCATCTGTTGCATGTAAGAGCAACACATATGCCATACTAAATATCTTACAATTCCATTTCAATGTTTCTGATTGCATTGATAAATTGAATTTTCATAGATTTTTATTTATTTTCATTTTGATTTAATTATTTTGTGTGAATTGCGTTGGAATTGAGCAGTGTTCTTTACCATACCGTTCATTTTGTGAGTATAGTCTATTTTTTATTTTTTTCATATTTTCATTTCATTTTTTAACTGTTTTTCTTATATTTCAATGATGGGAACATTAGATCACTTGATGTTCCCAATTTTCTGATGGGAACATCAGACCATTTGGGAAGGCATCGGACGAGGGAGTGGGGAATGGTGGGGATGATGAGGGGACGGAAGTGAGTGATGGTGGGGAGGACGAGGGGACAAGGGAGGGGGTAATGGTGGGGAAGGACGAGGGGATGGGGGAGTTTGGGATGGTGGGGGACGAGGGAATGGGGGAATGGAGAATGGTGGGGAGGACAAAGGGACAGGGGAGTGGGGCATGGTGGGAAGGAAGAGGGAATGGTGGGGAGGCCGAGGAGACGGGTGAGGGGGGATGGGTGGGGAGGACTGGGGGACAGGAAAGGTTGCTGTGGCTCAGCAACGCGTGGCCGGGTACAGCTGGTATATATATATATATATATATATATATATATATATATATATATATATATATATATATATATATATATATATATATATATATATATATATATATATATATATATATATGTCGTACCTAGTAGCCAGAACGCACTAATCAGCCTACTATGTAAGGCCCGATTTGCCTAATAAGCCAAGTTGTCCTGAATTAATAAATTTTCTCTAATTTTTTTCTAATGAAATGATAAAGCTACCCATTTCATTATGCATGAGGTCAATTTTTTTTTATTGGAGTTAAAATTAACGTAGATATATGATCGAACCTAACCAACCCTACCTAACCTAACCTAACCTATCTTTATTGGTTAGGTTAGGTTAGGTAGCAGAAAAAGTTAGGTTAGGTTAGGTAGGTAGGTTAGGTTAGGTAGGTTAGGTTAGGTTAGGTAGGTAGTTGTAAAACAATAATTCGTGAAAACTTGGCTTATTAGGCAAATCGGGCCTTGCATAGTAGGCTGATAAGTGCGTTCTGGCTACTAGGTACGACATATATATATATATATATATATATATATATATATATATATATATATATATATATATATATATATATATATATATATATATATATATATATATATATATATATATATATATATGTCGTACCTAGTAGCCAGAACTCACTTCTCAGCCTACTATGCAAGACCCGATTTGCCTAATAAGCCAAGTTTTCATGAATTAATTGTTTTTCGACTACCTAACCTACCTAACCTAACCTAACCTAACTTTTTCGGCTACCTAACTTAACCTAACCTATAAAGATAGGTTAGGTTAGGTTAGGTAGGGTTGGTTAGGTTCGGTCATATATCTACGTTAATTTTAATTCCAATACAAAAAAATTGACCTTATACATATTGAAATGAGTTGCTTTATCATTTCATAAGAAACAAAATAGAGAAAATATAATAATTCAGGAAAACTTGGCTTATTAGGCAAATCGGGCCTTGCATAGTAGGCTCAGAAGTGCGTTCTGGCTACTAGGTACGACATATATATATATATATATATATATATATATATATATATATATATATATATATATATATATATATGTCGTACCTAGTAGCCAGAACTCACTTCTCAGCCTACTATTCAAGGCCCGATTTGCCTAATAAGCCAAGTTTTCCTGAATTAATATATTTACTATAATTTTTTTCTTATGAAATGATAAAGCTACCCTTTTCACTATGTATGAGGTCAATTTTTTTTTATTGGAGTTAA